ACCGTACGAAACTAGGTGTTGATGGTGTCCTTTCAGATGCCCCGGTAATCAGCCCTGTATTTCGGATCGCAGACGCACCGTCTGACTATTGAGTCTCCTCTCCGAATACCCGCGACTGGTTCGACCGGCTGCAGAGCTTCCACCAGTCACGACAGAGGTCGCTCACCACATAGTTACGCGCGGTCAACCAGTTAGCGCACGACCAAGACGGCTTGCTTCAGACAAACTACGGGCAGCACGAGCCGAATTTGACCACATGCTTCAACTTGGTATCGTCAGAACGTCCAACAGCCCATAGGCGTCGCCTCTGCACATGGTCCCGAAGAAGGTCGTGGGGGACTGGTGTCCTTGCGGCGACTATCGATCCTTGAATACGGTAAATACGCCCGATCGCTATCCGATCCCACACATAGTGGATCTCACCGTGTCCGGGAGAAAGTAAGAATTGCCTTGGAAATTCCCTATTTTAGCGATTAATACGTTATTTGTCAGGGTCATTGGCGTTCTGCTTTTTTCCTTCGGTTGGGCTAGAAGTTTTGTGGAGCAGTGAATTGTTATTTTTGGAGTTGCGTCTAGTGAGAAGATTATAACAAATGGCGACGGAGAAAAGTGGAAATGTGATGAATTTTTCTGCTGAACAATTTCAAAAGCTGCTTTTTCAACAGCAAGCTCAAATGGAGGCGCAAATGAAAATGATTGAAAATCTGACAAAATGCTTGAGTTTGCAGACAACTGGAGCAGCGACGCGGGACACGCAGGCGAGTTCTGTTGATCTTCTCACGAACGCCATCACTGAATTCCATTATGATGCGGAATCTGGAAGCACTTTCGAAGCGTGGTTCAAGCGCTGGGAAGACATGTTCCAGACGGACTTCATTCGTCAGGACGACTCCTGGAAAGTGCGATTGCTACTCCGCAAGCTCGGAATAAGTGAACATTCAAGGTTCATAGACCACATTTTGCCCAAACAGCCGAAGGATCTGACTTTTGACGAAGCAGTGTCGCAACTGAAGGAAATTTTTGGTGAGTCGGTATCTTTGTTTAGTATTCGCTATCAATGCCTGAAAATAGTCAAACAGGAATCTGACGATTTTGGGGCCTTAGCAGACATGATTAACCGTGAGTGTGAACGATTCAAACTACGCTCTTTAACGGACGATCAGTTTAAGTGTCTCATTTTCGTCAGTGCTCTACAATCGCCCAGTGATGCTGAAATCCGAACGCGGCTTTTAGCTAAGCTAGAGCAGGACCCTGATCTGACACTGAAGGCTCTCGTAAGCGAATGCAAGCGGCTTCTCACTCTAAAACACGACACTGCCATGGTCGAACGCAATGGTCTAGCATCACCAAATACCGTGCAACTCGTGAAAAAGACCATGACCGCCAAAGCAAGCAAATCCTTCAAGAGGCCTACGAAGAAACCGCCCACAGCATGCTGGTCATGCGGCGAATGGCATTTCGCTCGCTTTTGTCCCTTCAAACAACATATTTGTCAAACGTGCCATAAGCGTGGGCATAAGGAGGAATGCTGCAGTCAAGTCCGGTCGAAGAAAGTGCAGAAGTCTCACCGAAGGGTTAATTCTAGAAGGGGCGGCGCTGAATCTCTCTCCATAGTCGCCGCATTCCAAAGCGAGTGCAAACCGAGACGACGATTCATCACTGTATTAATCAATGGTATCCCAACGAAACTGCAAATTGACACGGCCTCAGACATCACCATCATTTCCAGGCGCACATGGAATCACCTAAAGAGGCCGAAGATGGTCGACTCCCAGAAAGTTGCACATAATGCATCCGGCGGTGTGTTACGCTTAGTGGGCGAACTCAATTGCAAGATTGCTTTCCAAGGTGTGGAAAAGTCGGGAACATGCTACATTTCGGACCGGCCGAATTTGAATCTTCTTGGCCTCGACTGGATTGAAAAGTTGAACCTCCTCGATGTTCCCTTGAATCAGATCTGCAACCGAGTTCGAGCAAGTCCAGACCCATCAACAAAGTCCGTCGAAGACATGACACGTACCCTGAAGAGAAAATTTGCTTCTGTCTTTCAGGATGGCTTGGGTCACTGTACGAAATTCAAGGCAACACTGAACTTGCGACCAGGTGCTAAACCAGTGTTCAAGGCTAGAAGACCGGTACCATATGCAGCCATGTCAACCGTTGAGCAAGAGCTCGATCGACTGGAACGTGCCGGAGTCATCACAGCCGTCAACTACTCATCATGGGCCGCACCTATTGTCGCAGTGAAGAAAGCAAATGGCAAGGTACGCGTCTGCGCTGATTTTTCAACTGGCCTCAACGCCGCGCTGGATGACCATCAGTATCCCTTACCTGTACCGGAGGATATCTTTGCAAAGCTGAATGGTGGTAAGTACTTTGCAAAGCTTGATCTATCCGATGCTTACCTGCAAGTGGATGTTGACGAAGTCTCGAGGGAGTTGTTAACGATCAACACTCATCGTGGGCTATTCCAATACAACCGCTTGCCATTTGGTGTGAAAACGGCGCCAGCCATCTTTCAACAGTTGATGGATACCATGCTAGCGGGAGTTTCTGGAACCGCTGCATATCTGGACGATATCATAGTGATGGGTCGAACGCCGGAAGAACTCTTCAACCGCTTGGATGAAGTGCTATGTTGCATACAGTCGTACGGCTTCCGGATACGTGAGGATAAATGCACATTTTTCACGCCGCTCATCAAATACCTCGGGTTTATCCTCGAAAAGGATGGACGTCGACCAGACCCGGAAAACATCGAAGCCATTAGAAAAATGCCTCCACCCACAGATCTACAGTCTCTGCGTTCCTTTTGTGGGCTCATCAGCCACTACAGCGCATTTTTGCCTGAGATGCACCGCTTGCGTGCCCCGTTAAACAAGCTCCTATCCAAAGGACAACCTTGGAACTGGACAGCAGAATGTCAGAATGCCTTCGAACGCGTCAAGTCACTGTTGTCTTCAAACTTGCTTTTGACACATTTCGATCCCTCCAAAGAGATCGTCCTAACCACAGATGCATCAAGCCATGGGATTGGTGCAGTAATTGCACACACATACACGGATGGATCTCAAAAAGCAATCGCCCATGCCGCCAGAACCCTTACCAAGGCCGAGAAGAACTACAGTCAGATTGAGAAAGAAGCATTGGCCATAGTGTACGCGGTTAAGAAATTCCACAAAATGCTATACGGCCGCCGCTTCAAGCTTCTGACAGATCACAAACCCTTGCTCGCTATCTTTGGTTCGAAAAGGGCATCCCGGCCTACACAGCCAACAGGCTACAACGTTGGGCTCTTACCTTAATGGGGTATGATTTCGAGATCCAATATCAGTCGACAGTTTCCATTGGCCAAGCAGATGCACTGTCACGCCTAATTGATACCCGTCAGCAAGAACATGAAGACACAATCATTGCCTCGGTGGAGATTGAACCAGACGTGAACTTTCTGGTAACTGATGCACTGCACTGTCTACCAGTTACCGCAGAAGCTGTACGGACCGAAACACTTCGGGACCCAATACTCAAGAAGGTTACTCAGTTTCACAAAACAAGTTGGCCACGTTCATGTCCATCCGCCGAGTTGCAACAGTATTTTCAGAGGAGACACTCACTCTCTATTGTAAACGATTGCATACTATTTTCGGAAAGAGTGGTCATCCCCAAGGCACTTCAGCAGCGCCTTATTCGACAGTTCCACGCCGGGCATCCTGGAATCAACCGGATGAAGGCGCTTGCCCGCAGTTATGTATACTGGCCCTTAATGGACAAACAGTTGGAAGAAATAGCCAGAAGCTGCCAAAAGTGTGCCGATGTCTTGAAAGCGCCACCGAAAGCAGAACTCTGTTCATGGCCAATAGCTACTAAGCCGTGGTGCCGCATTCATGTCGACTTTGCAGGGCCGATCAACGGGAGAAGTTTCCTCATTATAGTCGACTCATACAGCAAGTGGCCAGAAGTATTTCTCATGGATAACACCACCACCAATGCCACCATATCGAAACTGCGCCAAGCCTTTAGCAGATTCGGCTGTCCTGAGACAATGGTCACTGACAATGGCTCACAGTTTACTTCAGCAGCGTTTAAGGAGTTTTGCAAGCAATGCGCCGTCCAGCACGTTCGCTCGCCGCCGTTTCACCCACAGTCGAATGGCCAGGCAGAAAGATTTGTCGACACATTCAAGCGAGCCCTCCAAAAATCAAAAGGGGAGGGACGTATAGAGGAGGTGGTTGACCGGTTCCTTTTCCTCTACCGATCAACACCGAATCCACAAGCACCAGACGGAGTCTCTCCAGCACAGGTTATGATGAACCGGAAGCTCCGCATGCCTTTCGACGCCATCCGACCGGGCTCGGAGTCCTCTGTTGGTGAAAGAAACCGCAGAATGGAACAGGAGTTTAACCGGCGGCATGGAGCAAAGAAGCGATCATTCACGCTTGGACAGAAGGTGCTAGTACGTGACTACCGGGATGGCCATGCGAAGTGGACGCCAGGGAGGGTCATAAGCAAGCGCGGAAACGTCATGTATGACGTGAAGGTGGGCGCACAGGTCTGGCCGCGGCATGCAAACCAGTTACGTCCCACATTGTGCCAGCCAGAACAAGAAAGGCCTACTGATCTCCCGTTCGATTTACTGGTGGAAACTTTCAACCTGCCGAAGGTAACAGTGGACGACTGCCCAAGGTCGAGCAACGAATCCAGAACAAGAACATCGGAACAAGGCTCTCGGGCGCTTCTGCCAAGGAGGTGGACCGACAGGCAGAGAACACCGTCCCGAAGACTGCAAGTTGATCCCAGGCTTTCCTCTTACACCTCTGAACATATCTCAGGAGGGGAGGTGTCCGGGAGAAAGTAAGAATTGCCTTGGAACTTCCCTATTTTAGCGATTAATCGATTATTAACGATTAGCGCATCGATTTCGAACGTTCCTGAATGTTCTTCTTCTAAAAGTGATCAAAATCCACCTGACCTCTCGGGAAAATATATGGGGAACCACTAACCTTGGCAGCTGACCTTCCAATTCTAGAAGTCGAAGGTCAGCAGAGACCTATAGTTCAGTTCAGTTCAGATGGGGACTGGAACGATAGGAGAATCCCGTGAGTGTTCCATCTTGAGTGGATCGTTGAGCCAGGAATTGATGAAGTGCTCAGTTATTGATGGATCTAAAACGGAAACACCCGTATCGCACCCTGGCCAACCAGTTAATGCCCACGTTTCCTGCCCTAGCAGTCCCTGCTTTGGCAGTCACGTGAAATAAGCAAAGGATAGGAAGAGAAATCGAAGGTACAGAATAGGGAAGTGCACTTAAATAAGAAAATAATACCAATACGGGGAGAAAAGTAGAGAAAAGAAAATCGAAGTACGAAGATGCGTTACTCAGGAAAATGGAAAAGTTTCGTGTTGCCACCCAAGAGCGTCAAGTTGCCGCTCAAACCCCTTAACCGTAGATTCCCTGATAACACTTTCCGGAAGCATGTTCCAGCGGTCGATAACTCGGCGTGACAGCCGGATTTCCGCCCTAATCCGATCGGACCGCGGTTTGTCCAGCTTCAACGAATGACCGCGTAGAACAGACAATCTAGCGGGACTGAATAGCCAAGATAAATCTGGACCAACCTTCCCAGTCAAGATACTGTAGGTTAGGATTAGGTCTCCTCTAAGCCTTCGGTAGTGCATAGAATGCATTCCCAAACTAAGTAGACGCTCGGGGTACGTCCGTCCCCGTAATCCCTCGACTAACCTAGTACCCACTCGTAAAACCCTCTCCAGCTCCATTTTGTCCCGGACGAGGCAGGGCGGACAAGCCTGGACGCAGTATTCCAGATGAGGGCGAACGAAAGCCGAGAACAGCCTCGTAAAGATGCCGCCCGTCAAGACTCCGAAAGAACGTCGGATTAACCACAACATGCGGAAACCTCTGCTTGCGGCCTTCTTCCAGTTGTCGCCGGAGTGTAAAGCCGAAGAGTGTACGACTCCTAGGTCAACCTGGCTAGATACACGGGGGAGTTCGACCCCACCGACCAAGTACTTCCCAGGAGGACAACCTCCTCCAATTCGAAGAACGGAGCACTTTGCCTGATTTATGGGCAGTAACCATAAAGTAGACCAGTCCCAAAGCTTATCCAATGCTCGCTGAATAGCTTCGGAACCCCCAGGAACATCAACAATGTTCCACAGCTTCAGGTCATCAGCAAATAGCAGCGATGGTACCTCAAGCTCCGTGGGTAGGTCATTCACATAGATAGAGAACAACAGCGGTCCAAGGACCGAGCCCTGCGGCACGCCGCTGAGGACAGATTGCCTAAATGATAGACCCCTGCCTACCCGTACACATTGTTCTCTACCCTCCAAGAAGGCAGTCACCCAATGAAGGGCGCGGCCAGATACCCCGTAGGAGGACAGCTTTTGCGCGAGCCTCAAATGGGGTACCTTGTCAAATGCCTTCGAAAAGTCGACGAAAAGCACGTCCAGTGTGTGGCCGTTATCCACTGCAACCGCCCAATTTTCGCGAGCTACCAACAGATTCGTCAGACACGAAAATCCCTTCCGGAATCCGTGTTGTACATTGCTAAGTAGATTAAATCTACTTAGATGACTCTCCAATGAATCTCTCACCAGTTTCTTGACTACTACACTCGTCAGACTAACTGGCCTGTAATTTGCAGGCAGACCCCTGTCCCCATGTTTAAAGATGGGACAGATGACAGCTTCCTTCCACTCGGAAGGCAATGCACAACTGTCAAGCGATCTCTGAAACACAATAGTGAGCGGTCCACTCAGTTCCGCAGACAACTCATGCAACAGTTTCGGGTGAATTAAATCAGGCCCAGAGGCCTTAGAAGGGTTCAGCCCTTGTAACAGCCTACGAACTTCCGTCGCCGCTACAATAAATGCAGATAGTTCTGAACCCTCTGGGGTTCTGCAAAACAGCTCAACGCCTGTCAAAGAGGTTTCCCTTATAAATACAGCCAGAGTCCTCAGGCGTTGTACAGTGTTCGTTGGCTGCGATTAATACGTTATTTGTCAGGGTCATTGGCGTTCTGCTTTTTTCCTTCGGTTGGGCTAGTTTTGTGGAGCAGTGAATTGTTATTTTTGGAGTTGCCTCTAGTGAGCAGATTATAACACACCGCCAGTCTGGCGGGTAAAAATATCTTCAGCAAAATGGACTTGGTACGCACATACAACCAAATTTCGGTAGCCGAAGCGGACATCGCTAAAACTGCCGTGACGACTCCATTTGGTTTGTTCGAGTTTCTGCGCATGTCATTTGGCCTAAAGAACGCCGCGCAAACCTTTCAGTATTTCATCGACCAAGTTTGTCGCGGTTTAGACTTCGCTTACGCGTATCTTGATGACATTTTAATTGCAAGCTCTTCTTGAGAAGAACATATACGCCACGTACGAACACTTTTTGATCGTTTATCTCACACGGGGTAATGATCAGTCATCAACAGCAGCAGCAGCAGTACATCAGCCATTTGAACTGATGCTTCGCTGCCATACAACCATGAGCACCTATGAAATAAAGAATAAGAAGAGGGAGAGAAGGGGGACTTACCTGAAAACCTCAGTGCCCTAAGCAAACATTCAGGGTCAAGGCGAATACACCTTGTGTAGACAACAAACCGTCACAAACAGCTGGCTATCGTGCAAAGAGAAGGCTGCATCGGCGAGACAGCTTCCTTGCGGCTTTCACTGCCACGCGTCATAATCAGCCATTAACCCGCAGATAACTCAGCACCAAACACACCTTAAACAGACAATCCGACTAGGAGACGGCAGCAGACGCGCCACTGGTGTCTACTGCGAGCCATGTCCTGTAAAGTCTCGAGCCAAGCACAAGGTGAGTCACGTGGACTCCAACCCGGAAGACGAGACGGACCAACGGCACCCAGTTTGGTCGTCAGTGACTTCATTTCCCGCTGCCAAGTCAACTTCTGTCCACCTCGAGCCTTGCGCCATCCTACACCTGGTAGACTGAACAAGGCCCTCCTAGGTAAGCGGTGACCAGGCATGCGTAGCACGTGCCCGAGCCAACACAACTTATTCAGTGCTATCTGTTGTTCTAGGGAGCTAGCATAATTATCACCACCGAGTACTCGCCTACGCACATCATCGTTGCGGACACGCTGGTGCCATCCGACACCAGCAATGCTTCGCAAACAACGATGATCAAAGACTTGAAGGCGCCTCAGATCTTCAGACCGAAGGGGCCAAGTTTCACTACCATAGAGCAGAACGGCCCTCACTGTGGCCTTGTATACACGGCCTTTCAGACGGAGGGAAACCCCCTTCTGTTGCCAAAGACGACGAAAGTGCAAGAAGGCAGCTCTGGCCTTTGCAATGCGTGAGCTCACGTCAGTTTCTATGCGCCCATCATTGCTGATGCAGCTGCCAAGATAAGTGAATTGATCAACCACCTCGAGTTCCTCGTTAGCAAGCGTCAAGGGGTCATCAAGTGGCTGGTGGTCCTGCAGCAACACTTTGCACTTTGAAGGTGCGAAGTGAATACCAAATAATGGGACTACTCTAGACAGGCTATTCAGGGTTGATTTTGTCGCCTCAACATTGTCGAAAATCAAGACGATATCGTCCGCATAATCTAGATCAACTAACTAGATCAACTAACCTTTCACCAGGCAGCACTTCGACGCCTACATCGTGAGCTTCCGCAAGGAAACACTCCATGATAGAATCCACGACGAAATTGAACAAAAACGGGGAAATCGGACAACCCTGACGAACGCCACTTGTAGTCGAAAAGCTATCCGATAGGACACCATAGACCCTGACGCGGCCTGTAGTGTTCGAGTATACAGCACGAAGGATGTTCACATATTTCGTGGGAACACCTTACCGCGCAAGTAATTCGAACAGAATCGATCGATCGACTGAATCGAACGCACTCTTGAAGTCGAGAAACACAGCTATTGTCGGTCTGCGGTATACGTGGCGCTGTTCCAGCACCTGCCGCAAAGTAAATATATGGTCTATACAGCCACGTCCTGGGCGAAAACCGACCTGCTCCTCCCTAATCCGAGATTCCCGTTCTGCAGTGAGGCGACGAACGATAATCGAGGCCAGTAATTTTGTCACAACTGGCGTTAGGCTAATACCCCTGTGGTTCGCACAGTCTGTGCGACTGCCCTTCTTGTATATTGCCACTATAATCGATTCGCTCCAATTAGCCGGCACACTCTCTTCGTTCCAGATACGTTCGAATAGGGAGGTCAGTGCTCTGCAGAGGACCTCACCTCCATCCTTAAATAGTGCAGGTGGGAGGGAATCTGGGCCAGCGGCACGAAAACGATTGAGGGCTGTGATCGCGTTTCGGGCCTCGGCCTCCGACGGAGGCTCTAAACTAACCGTCCATGGCACGTCCTGCATCACCTGAGTAGGAAGAGGTCCGGGAGCAGGGGGCCTGCTGAACTGATCATCAAAGTGTTCAGCCCAACGAGCCATACGGCGCACCTTACTGTGTATATGCGCAACCGCGCTGTCCCCGATTGTCCCACTGACGCCTGGTTTTCTGGGACCAGTGGTGCGGATTAGCTGGAAGAGCTTGCGGTAATTGCCTACTGCTCCTGCCTCCTCCATTTCTTGAGCCCGACTGGTCCACCAGACTTCCTTGTCAGCAAATGGGCTCCGCTTTAATTCACGCCTAATAGCCCGTCTGGTCACATTGTGTTCAGAACCAGCCGGGAGGTGTCTTCTAGCTTCCAACAGGTTCACGGACCTCTCGGATATCCAGTGACTGGTGCGGAGACGATGGATAGTGCCACAAACAGATGCTCCTGCGTCGTGCATAGCGGCCGAGATCCTATTCCACTGAAGTGCAGTGTCATTAGGACAGGACAGCGAGAGTTCGGTATGCAGTGCTTCTTGATAGGCTTGCCTGACAGAGGGCTGGGACAATTTCTCCGTTGCCAATCGGGGGAGACGCTTTGTCCGCCTTCCGGTAAAGTTCATGGAGAAACGACAGCGCACCAGGGCATGATCAGGGTCGACACAGGTACTCCA